GAGAGAGAGAGAGAGAGAGAGAGAGAGAGAGAGAGAGAGAGAGAGAGAGAGAGAGAGAGAGAGAGAGAGATTGCATCGATCAGTTGCCACCACCATCTTCTGAATCAGCTGTCACATTTGTTTTTGCGAGCGAACCTGCAACAGGTCATCGAGTGAGGAAAGTATCTTCCTTGCCTGGCTTCTCTTTCACGAGTGCCATCCTGTTGTGGCTGGCATTATTCAAGTGCACTCTACCTGTTCCATGAGCTTTGTCTTTTCTGATGAAGGCAGAGTGGTGCAGGTCATTGAGTGTTTGCCGTGCTCTGATGCTGACTTGCTGTGTGGACTGTGACACTATCTCGGCAAGAGCGGGGGATTGACCTCCTACCGAAAGGGAAGGTCACACTTGATTCTTCAGAAGCGAGTAAAGATGGCAGCGGATGCAACCAAACGAACATTTGCTCTGGAACCATCCAAGGAGGGCAGCGACACCCGGCCTATCTTGGCAATTCAGTGAAATAACTACACTGTTGGGGAGGAGGGAAAGGGGGTGGACATAATGGGAAATCATGATACGACTTCATATAAGATCACAAACACGTGATTAAAAACAGTCCAACGTTTCTAACCTCTTCAGTGGAAAGGAGTGGAATAAGAAGGGAGGAATTTTTTCATGAAAACTTACGTCAAGAGATGTGCATCGATGATGTCAAAGTCAGGGAAGATGGCTTTGTCCTCGTTGTCGTGCAAAGTAACTATTCGCTTCCTGGGATAGTGGGGCATGGTGTCATTTGTAATTGGCATGCTTTGTGCGTGGCAGATCGGCAACGAGGGCAATGGACCGTCATTATCATGTTGTGGTTGGTTACAAGATCTTTGATGTTTGCCGAGGAAGTCCTCCAAGCCAGCGCGTAGAGCTGGTGTCTATAGTCTGTTATAGAGTTGGGAGTTTTATACTTTGTTATAGAGGTGAGAGTTTTATACTTTGTTATAGAGTTGGGAGTTTTAAACCACTTTGTTATAGAGTTTTAAACCATTTTGTTATAGAGTTTTAAACCACTTTGTTATAGAGTTTTAAACCACCAGTAGGTTGCTCAGCTATGAAGTCCGAGCCTCCGGCTACTGGTAAGCCGAGCCTTACCGAGCCTAGAGCAACCGCGGTGGTGGCAACTGAGATTTTTGGGTATACCTGTACCTTACCTACCCACAGCCTCTTTGAAAACTACTAACCACCCATAATCACTGTATAGATGGCCTAACGGAGCTGTACCCATCCTTACCTGCTCAAGAAAAAAAAAGTGTACCCGTACCTGCCCTACCTGAACCCCTTTAGACAGTACTGCCCATAACTGCCCATGGACTTTCTGTTTCAAAACTATGCATGGCGACTTACACCCAAACCTGTTGTTAACCACCTGTACCGTACCCAACCCGTTTCTTTTTCACTCTGCGTAGATTGACTGAATGCAGAAACCCTTGAACTTTCGACGATCATGTTTTTCACCTGATTTTTTGTTACTCATGTCAGCATTCTCACTTCTGATATCTCCAGCTGTTTTCACCAACAGCCTTCTTCACCCCTACCCACTCGTACCCACCTACAATTTTATGCACCCACCCACAACCATCCACACTTGTGATCCACCCTCCCCGAACCACACCTCACTGTCCCCAACCGACCCTAACTGCCCCTAAATGTTCCCAACTGCCCCTAACCGCCACCTCTAACCGCCCTTAACCATCCACATTTGTGACCCACCCTGCCCTAACCACCCCTAACTGTCCCCCCATCCACATTTGTGACCCACCCTGCCCTAACCACCCCTAACTGTCCCCAACCGCTGCTAACCGCCCCGAACTGTCCCCAACCGCCTCTCTCTCTCTCTCTCTCTCTCTCTCTCTCTCTCTCTCTCTCTCTCTCTCTCTTGGCCATGAAGCACACACAGAACAGCAGTGGGTACAACCACGAGGGGTGGATGATGGCCATGCAGTGGCATGCACACACAGAAGGGTGGCGGGTACAACCATGACGGGCGGCCAGTTTCCTAGGGGGAACTCCCAGAGTCGAGGCTGGAGCCTTCTAATTTCGAAAGTGGCCAATTTTGAAGTTGGGAGCCTATAACCGGAAATATTTTTCTCCTCGTTCGCACCAGGACAAAAAATTATGCCTAAGAAAAGAACAGCTCCGCCAGCTGCAGACTTCCTAGGAAGAAGGGAAGGGGGGAAGGGGTGGAAAAGGGGGGGAAGGTATATATTATATATATATATATATATATGGTGTTGTAGAGGCCAATCACTGAGTACACAGTGATCACCTGGAGCAGTAAGCCGTGGGTGTCCTGGAATATGAGACCACCTCCTATCCAATCCTCACGTCAATACTCCTAGTGCACCCCCTATCCCACTATTCTACCTCAGTGTGACCGGCACCAGGCTGATAGGTTGCTCAGCCCTGGTGGAAGTGGAATCGGACGAGCCTTGTCGAAAGGGAACTTCGGACGTTACCCGGCAGAATCGCTTACCTGCCCATACACACCTGATTTTTTTTTCCCACCACCCTCTAACGACTGTACCCATGCTTTTTTTTTTCTTGGGGGCCAATACCTGCGGTTTTTCCCTTTTCACCGCCAGTACCTGCTTTTTTTCCCTTTTCACCGCCAATACCTGCGGTTTTTCCCTTTTCACCGCCAATAGCCGCCCATACCTGC